TTAGAGAAACTGAAAGTTTTCTTCCTGTATATTTTCATGGCCATTATATTACAAATTTTCATGTATTTAAGATTCACGTTCTCAATTTATCCACAACATAAATCTGCTTTGTAAAGCATGCAACTTGTTAATTGTCTGATCCCCTATAGTTACTGTGTATATTTCAATGTTTTCACTTAACATTTAAACGTTTCTTCACCAGACATTACACTAAATGTGTTATATGACTTAAGTCTAGTGAACCTGATAAAGAAGACAATGATGAACCAGACAGAAATGTTAATGATGATGAATGAACTGGCTCATTTTCTGCTCATTAAATCAAAACTTGTACATTGTATTTGTCTCATTAAAATTCAATATTTCTTTCAATTAAATTAAAATCAAATATAAAAAAATGTTTGAGATCATCAACCGATTGACTAGCGTGAGTGTCTAGCTTCGTGGAGGAAGTCTCGGTGTTGTGGTGAGAAACTGTGACCACTGGAGCTAATTCATGTCAGATAGAGACAGATATTTACGTTAGTACAGTAGAAAGTGGTCGCGCAATTTCGTGGATTGATTGAGGTTAGACATTGACACTGTTTGATGCCGTCTCAGTTGCCTAGAGGTTAAGCGTTCGCACTCGAGCTTCAATTACTTGAGCTCGAATCACGCAAGCTGAATTGTGGATGCGCACTACTATGGAGTCCTATAATAAGATGAACTGGCCGTTCGGTTCTTCCCGGTATACAGTGGTGGTCTAACATCAGTCGGTTCATGATCTCAATCAAAAACTTATTAATCTCCACAACCCAATATTGATTAGAAAATGAAACAGAATTATATCATTTGGAAATATTAATAAACCTTAAAGACAAATAAATTTAGCCGTTAGCACATTCATGTTATAGTCTCTCACTTTTATAGTCTATCAGTTGTAAATTTCCTAGTCATTCTACTTGTAAGATATGTGAGTGAGTATTCATATTGGAAAGTAAAACCTTTATAAGAATAATGCGTAAATGATTATCTAGTTCTTTGCATGACAAATGTTATATAAACTACATAAAATATTCACGTTCCTATAATTATTATCGTTATACTGGTTATTTAAATGTTCTAACTTTTACCAATTTTGACCATTAATTCTGTGAAGAAGTAGCTTACACTGAGTCACGAAACATCAGAAATCTAGTCTTTCTACTCATTGAATTATTACAAATATATTAGTTTAATTATACTTGTAGACGTTTGTTTGTTCCCTGAAAATAACAAACAATGATATTTATTAAATTCACTTGGATCTTCCGATTGTTATTTAAAACTGTAATTCATTAGTCTCATATTGGCAATATGTGCATATTGTGCCGACTGCCGCGACATTGCCTTAGATCACAAGCCTAATAATGATAGTATAATATTTACTATTATAGGCTTATTAAGTTTTAATATACTGGTAAATTTTTTAAATCATAAATATTTACATGTACAAATATGAAGCTTATCAGTCAAAGATTTAAATTGTGGTGAAAGTATAATTTATGGACGACATTTCAGCGACGCTAAAGTCACATTGACAGTGGACACCTACTGATTAGGACTGAATGAGGGTTATAGAGCAATTAGAATTATGATTTACAGTTGATGATTAGGGTTAAAAATTAGACATAGGGTTTTCATCACTAACTGACATCAGCTATAATGCCAAAACTCTATTTAGCCAAATGGATAGACGAATTTCGCGCCAACATTCGTTACTCGTTAGCTTATATTTGATTGGTTTGTCCATAAATTATAGTCTCGCCTAAATTGTTATTAAACTTGAAAAACATTTTCTATTAAAACATTGAACTGGAAGGTAAGATAATAAATTCTTGGATGAATAATCGAATTCCTACAGGAATTATAGTGTTGTTAAATGAGTGGAACACAAACGAATAATAAATAAAGTGAACATGTTTTTTTATTGGAAAGTTGTTATTAGCAGATTTCGGAACATATATATTTAATGATAAACAACCTTATCATGAAGGTAAACAATGATCATAATGATATATCGCTAAAATCTTCAATTACCCATATTTTCATAATCGGTTGGCGTTTTTTAGCAAGATTTTTCTCTATCTGTAATTCTTCTACAGATACTGCCAGTTCCAAGCTCTGGTAAAGGAGGTTGTTGGGCATGGGTATCGACAACCCCATCTCGTAGAGGTACATCTTGCTAAAACAACGCCAATATTTATATTATTACGTTTTTAATAAACGAATATACGTTTTATAGCATTTTATCCAAAAGTCAATAGTTTATTTCAATAATAATAATAAGTAATTATTTTGTTAATTGATCCTAATAAAACTCATGGTATTAGGCTATATGAGTAAAGCAATAATTTGCTGATTAATTTCACATGGAACAGTTAATTATTTGGTATTCATTTATAGAACGGATACATATGATTGTAATGAGATTAATTGTAAATCACAAGTGAATACAATCGCTAATTCATAGTATGAAACAATATAGAAAGCATTTTTACTGAAGCTCAAGGTACTGGAAATTACATTCATTTAAATTTATTTTTAAAGTATAATTTAAACACCGTTGAATGCCGGCTAGCTCAGTGATCTGGTGGTTAAGCGTTGGCGCGAGAGACTGATAGGTCCTGGGTTTTAATCTTGCGAAGAGGGATCGTGGATGAGTTCTGCTGAGGAGTCCCACATTAGGATGAAAGGATCGTACAGTGCTTCCAGGTTCGCTATTGTGGTCTAGCATGAATTGACTCATGATCTCGACCATTATAATTTAAACATAGAAAAATGTGAACCAACGAAACATAGTTTATTCATAGAGGAAAACGAAAGCTTCTTCATCAAGTCTGATCTGATTGCTGCATGCCATGTTGTATTGGAGAATCTTGCTTTTCCTTTTGTGTATATTGAGATCTACTGCCACTGAGGGTGCTGCTACACTATTCGTCTTTTCCTGCCTTTGTTGTTGCATGTGCGATAAAAGAGCCAGATGATCTGCGAAGTCTAGATCTTCCAGCTACATCCAGGCTGTCCACTGTATCCCGTGCTTCGCCCCAGATTTTGACGTCTTCATGATCCAGTCGTTCACCAGGAGAAAGAGAAAACGGTGAGAGTTAGCAACCTTGCCTTACACCGGTCTTTACTTCGAAAGAGTCTGTGACCTGTCTTCTATGCACGATTTTGCATTTTAATCCATCATAGGAATTCCGTTTGATATTGACTATTTTCTCAGGTATGCCGTAGTATCGAAGAAGCTTCCATAGTGTTGTCCTGTCCACACTGTCAAATGCTTCCTCGTAGTCGATGAAGTTGATGTAGAGTAGTGCATTTCATTCAACTGACTGTTCCACAATCACCCGTAGTGTTGCGATTTGGTCTGCTTGAGGTGGAGGTATGTTTACATGTAACACAATATTAAGTTAATTGAACTTGACCAAAATGATTTGAAATCGACTGGAACTAATGTTTTGAAAAATTTGAATATATAATTGGGTAATACCAAGTAGATGTTTGCTTTGAAGACTCAGTTATATTCAATTAAATTACTAGTATATTATAACAGTTGATTGTCATGGTAGGTTCCTTTTTTGTTGTTGATATAAATCAAATTATCGAGCAGTTTTATTTTCTTTAGTAATGACTTCCTTTAATGGCTAGAATTATTTTACTGAAAGAACTAAACTAATTTTTTTAGCATCACAAAATTGTTGAAATCCACTGAAAAATCACTTGCATGTCATAATTATTAACTTATATAACTATTCACTAATCACTTTTATTTAAAAGCAAAAATAAATCGAAAAAATCTAACAACTAACAGATGATCAGAAGGGGTTTTGTGGAGGTTTTAGAAATTTCACTAGTTGAAACCATGAGTCAATTGAAACTAGACCACCATGAAAAGCGGGAAGCACTGGACGACCGTTTCGTCCTAGTATGGGACTCCTCAGCAGTGCTCATCTAGCGCTTTTAGGTTTTCCAATAGTGGTCTAGCTTCAATTGACTCATGATTTCAACTAGTGAAACTAAGAGATTGTGAAGTAACTAAGATGCTTGTTCTTGAAATCTTATACCTTACTTCATAGATGTAGGAAAGATACACGTAACAAGAAAACAATCGTTTAACCGTTGTATATCTGGTTTATCATGACAACTCAAATAAATGAAATGGAGAATAAATCCAGTCCTTTGACGCTTTCTTGTTTTACTGGGTTTTTTTAAACTTCAGAAGATTCGATTGTAGATTTAGTGCATATCTACCCCTCTATTTAGAAAAAGCATAAGTAATAACTTCTAAATGAAGTGAGCCCATCCTATTATTGTCATCATTTTTTTGATTCAAAAGTATTGCAGTCCATTTGAATCAATTTGTATTTAAAGGGGGGGCATCAAACTTGGTAAACAGCAAACAGCTATACTGCTACCAAGTCCTAATTCAATTTTCATTTTTTGAAATTACAGTTTACTTCCCTGAATGCTTAAAAATTATTGAAATTTATTAATGAAAACCCATTTGCTTTCGGACTAGATTTTATTTTACAGTTATGATCGAATTGGACTGTTTAGTGATCACTTTGAATAAGAGGAAATGTCCAACTTCTAACTTCTGTCGTATTTCAAACAAACTTGATGCTGTTGTTTGAGAATTTACTTTTTTTTTAAGTTCAAACTTATGTTAATACTTGCTGAAGGACTGTCAAACTTTATACACAGCTAATATATTCCAAATGAAAATTTGGTTTAACAAGTGAACAAAAAGAATTGTAACTATCAAAATAAATACATTTAGAAAAGGTGGCTTTCAGCTCTTTGGACCCATTGTAAACTACTCGTCATTTGATTCAAATCTTATGTATCACACACAATAAAATAGTTAATAACCAGAGCTAAATTATTTCTGACTGTTTACCAGATTTCAATATTGATTACCAAACAAACTATTTTTTAATAAAAACTATGTACATTTTCCTTTTTCTCTGAAACACTAGGAAAGAGTCATGGCAAGTCAGTTAACTGGTGCAAGACTGCTCTTACACCCTGGTGCTTCTTATCCTCGTGTAGCTGAAGAAGGTGTAAATTTAATGCCAGGAACAATGACTGATATACGATTTACAGTATATGAATGGTCTATGATGGAACCACCTCATGGTAGATGCAGTAAAAATACACCACAGTTTATATCATTTAATAATGTTAACTATACTTTTAGCGAAGAAGCATGTCATGCACATATGGTGCAAGAAAAAGTCGCTTCAAATTGTCAATGTTTAACTCAACATTTACCAATTCCAACGCATTTACTTGGAAAAGATTTAAGAAAATGTCAAGCATTCAAACTTCCAGCAACTTATCAAATGTTAGATAACTTTAACGAATCCAAACAGTTATATTTTAATGATGAAGCAGTTTCCACTTATGCTCGATTTGCAGAGTGTGCAGAAAAAACTGGAACAGCTATGGATAGTTATCAAATAGGCTGTAGACCAGCCTGTGTTCGATACACATACAAACCGAGCATAACAGCTGCTCAATGGCCAACCAAAACATTTCTAACATGGTTTGTTACAAAAGTAAGTTTCGGATAATCAGTAAATCAAGCTTATTGTTATCATCTAATAATATATGATCAAAAATGCTTCTTCCGTTACATAAGAAGTCTGTTTGTCTAATAAATCTTAACTCTAATTACTACTGTCAATAAAAGTGGGTTTATTAGTAAATGTTACTTGCTGATTTACCACTTACAATTAAAGATACAGATACAGTTCTAATTCATTAACCCTATCCCAAAATCAATTATGTAATTATAAGTAATTGTGTAGTGCATTTGTTAAGGTGTAAAATAACTCATATGCGCGCAAATTAGTTACAGAACAAAACCATAGTATTTAAAGATAAGGAAAACTGAAATGCGTCTTTGATTACATAAATTACCACTTTTTTCCTAGAATCTTATTTTCCTTAACAAATAACACAGGTAATTTCGTTAGATTATAGATTAGCAATGATAACCCAAAGCAGCTGAAATTAAAATATTTCTTTACTTACACATACTTTAATTGGCAGTTGTCTTCATACAATATTTATATTGAATCGGTTTTTTTCTTGGTTGTAAATGTTGTAGTATTTATGAAATAATTAGAATTTATTATAAGTGTCAAGACTTATAAATAAGTTTCACCTCTGATTCTTGGTAGATCAAATGATTCACAATATTCATAATATCATTATAAGGATTTGGAGATAATTGAGCTTTACTGAAATCATGAACCGACCAATGTTGGGCTACCATTGTAAACCTGAAAGCACTGCACGGCCGTTTCGTATCAGCATGGGGCTCCTCAACAGCGCGCATAGACCACCTCTTATGCTGGAATCGAACTTAAGACTTTCGATCTCGTTTGTGAATCCTAAAACTCTAGACCAAAGATGTTAACATTTCATTAATGTCAATTCATGATATAGTGCGGCCATCTTATATTGTCTTTGGTGAGTGACTGCCTCAAAACAGACACGGTTGGATTCCACAGGTCACGGTTTTTCACTAGAACTCCAGAAAATACATCTTGAAACCAGTCACTACTGAGGACAAGATTATTGTCAGAATGGGGATTTTGTGGAGATTCTAGTAATTTAATAGTTGAATTCATGAACAGATTTAAACTAGATCACCACTGAAAACCTAGAAGCAGTAGACGGCTGTTTCATGCTATTAAAGACTCCTCAGCAGCGCGCATCCACGATACCGTACGTGGGACTCGAACCCAGAATATTCGGTTTAACCTGTAGATCTGAAGGCCGAAGGTCCTATGTTTGAGTTTCGTGTGCGGGATCGTGGATGCGCACTCCTGAAAACTCCCATAACAGGACGAATCGGCCGTCTAGTGCTTCTAGGTTTTTAGTGGTGATCTAGCTTATATCAACTCATGAATTCAACTATTAATTCAAATAGTTTAAAATTTGAACGCTTCAGTAAATTGGACTGTCTACGAAAATATCTTAGTTATTTATGTGGTAAATCAAACAATTTATACAATCAGTATTTAGATATCGTAAACAAGGAATCCATAGAGTAGATCTTACAACTAATCGATATATAAATATTGTTATTTCATGAGAAAACGTGAACATAGAATAACCAGTGTAATATGATAATAATAAGGATCATGCAATGTCTACAGAATATTTGTAACTGAAGATGAAATATAAAGCTGATACGCTAAAAATGATTCATATTTTGGACAAGATAAGCTAATTAGAATAAATGTTATTTTGCTTTGCTATTAACCGATTATTATTATTATTAGAGAAGAATCAGCAAAGTAACAACGAAAGCCATCAAATGATAAAAAAAATCAAAGGTCAGAAGAAAGAATAAAATTTTTCAGGTAGAAACACTTTTAATTTCATTAATTGTAAAGAAAGCATTGCGTATTATAGAATAATCATTCGATTTTCTAGAGCTTAACAACCTTATTTCTATTTTCAAGAGTAGATTAAAATGTTTTAGAAAACTTTTCACGGAAAAATACAGATTATGTGTACAATCAATTTAATATTACTAAAGAAAATACTTTTACAGTTATCTGTGAAGTTAATCTAAGGATTCAAAAGAAATAAATCTATATTTTCGCAGTATCATATAATTAATCATTTTCATGTGTATTATGAATTATAGTTTTAATCATTTTCTGAACGCAATATTTGATTGTTGAAACAAAAGTATGTAACACTAATTGATAGATGATATCCAGTAATACGCAATATGTTTGAATGATAACTTCTCACGAAGATGAATTATTGACTAATCCCTTCATCTTCGATGATTTGGAGTTAAAGACAAATGCACGAACTGAAAGAATAGGTACCTTTATGTATTAAACTGACAGAATTATACACAAAATATTAATAGAAAAATTACCATGATCAATCGATATGGGCAGTTAAGGGAAATCAGTTTGTACGTCACTAACTCTCCATGTAATCAAAACCAGATTATTCGGCTCAATTATCAATTGTAGTAGTATTCATTATAAAAGTAACTTTAGGAAATCGTAGTGAGACTATAATTTATATACGACCTTAGAGTGACTCTAGGGTGACGTTGAAACTGTCCACCTAATAACTAGGACCAAATGAGGGTTATGAACCAATGTGAGTGATTAGAATTATGATTTACAGTTGATGGTTAAGGTTAAGAATTAGACTTAGGGTTTTCATCACGAACTGACAACAGTTATAATACCAAAACTCTATTTAGCCAAATGGATGAGTGATATTCGCGCCAAAATCCGAGACTTGTTATTGTATACCTGATTGGTTCGTCCGTAAATTATAGTCTCGCCGAAGTTGTAAAATAACTGAGATTAACTGAATGAATGTTACTCAAAGAAATCATTTCATTCTTAAATTTTGTTGACTGGTTATATACTGATAAAACTTTAAATAAATGACTATTAAATAGTAAAATGATAAGTCACTTGTTAAAACAAAGTCCCTACTGATGTACAATATGGCCAACATGAATTAAACTTAGAAAATAGATAACTTTAAACAAAGATTGATTTTTAACTAACATGTTACCCTTCAATAATCTTCAATACGAACGTCAAGTCAGTTCTACTGTACGGAGCTGAAACTTGGAGAACTACAACAACCACCATCAAGAAGGCACAAGTGTTTATAAATGGTTGTCTACGCAAGATACACAACATCCATTGGTCGGACATCATCAGCAACAGCCTTTTGTGGGAGAGAACAAACCAGCTTCCAGCTGTAGAGGAAATTAGGAAAAGACGATGGAAATGGATAGGACATACATTACGCAAATCGTCGAACTGCATCACAAGGCAATCCCTAACTTGGAATCCTGAAGGGAAGTGGAAAAGAGGAAGGCCAAAGAACACATTACGTTGGGAAATAGAAATAGATATGAAAAGTATGAATAACAACTGGAAGGAGCTGGAAAGGATTGCCCAGGACAAGGTTGGATGAGGAATGCTGGTGAGCGGCCTATGCTCCTTCAAGAGGAGTAACAGACGTAAGTCAGAAGTAAGTAAGTAATGTTACCTAAAAATCATGTTTGTTTGTTTGTTTATGTTATATAATCAGACTATTCTAAATATAATTCATTGAATTTTCTTTTATAGTTTATAAAAGAAATGGAAGCATCCGGTTATTCACGTTTAAAATCAACAAATAATGAAACATTAACTATATTTAATGAACGTATGGAAGAAATTCGTACACCATTACAACCTTATGAAATAATTTCTAATTTAACTAAACAAGGTCATTTACAAGAAGCAATTAAAATGCTTATGAATACACAAATATTTGAACAAAATTTTTTATCTATTATAATATCACGACCAAATTTTGATTTAGAACGTGTTGAAGAAAAAGCTGTTGTATCATTAACTTCATTATTTAGTCAAATTGGTGGTTTATTAAGTATATGGATTGGATTAACATTTGTATGTATTGTTGAATTAGTTGAATTAGGTTTAAATGTAGCTGATGCTGTAATTCATTATAAAAAATTAAAATCATAAATTTATTCTTATTATTCAATGTATTTCAATGATTAAAAATTGGATCATTTCAATGTTCAATTTATGTAAGAATACAAACAAAAATGATTATAATCTATGTCTTTCTTATAGGGAAGATAATATGAACAATATAAACATATATATTTGTTATTTTGAATTAGTTTTTAAATAACTTTAAGTAATTTATTTTGATTATAATACACAAGTTATCAATGTAAACTTTATTATTATAAAAATAAAGTTGATAATGAATGAATGGATGAATGAATGAATGAATGAATGAATGAATGAATGAATGAATGAAATCATTGAACCCAGATTCTTATAAATTAATCAAGAAATAGATGAAGAATATATAGAGTTGACTTTCACTTTAATTTTCTATTCAATTATTTTGTTTTGTTTGACGTTTTACGATTATAATAAAATACAACAAGCATGAAGAATAAAAGTGTTCACAAATGTAGAGTTTAATGATATTACTATGTTCTGTTCTATTCTTAGTTGTTAATATCCTATCTGTTAATATACTGTCTATAGTTGAGAATAGCTGTTTTAATGGATGTTCAGTATATTAGATTGATTTATGTTCGAAAATATCTCTTGCACATTCATAACTTGTTGTGACTTTAAGGTCAGCTAGTTATCACGTGATTTATTCGCTAATCGAAATACGACTTATCTAATCTTAGTACTATATCAAACCAATGACGTTTGACCGGTATGAGCAGCCTAGCTTCCTTATTGGTCTTTTGTTGGCCTAGCCCGTCCATTTGAGTCTAGAACATCAATAACAGATCTCACTATGGTTTATATACCAGCCAAACAGACCGCATCACACCATAAAATAGGTAATAATATTTATGCAAGATAAAACCAGAAAGTGGCCGTGAACGTGGGAGACTGTAGTCAACAAACTGAATATAACTTCAGAATAGTAAACCGTACAATGATAATCCATAGGTCAAAATGAAGCTTATAATAAAATGAATATAGATATACATAGTCAAGTTACTGAAAAGTTATACAATAGGAATATTTATTTAATATTAGCCCATTAATAGTTCTCAGAAGTTACTGGTGGAATATAACATAAGTCATTAGAATAATGATTACAAATGTATTAAAGTTCACTGACACAGAATGGATTAACTGCTGCTGCTGTGAAATAGTTTGACAACTAGATTTTATTTATATCAGTAAAATATTTAAAAAAAGAGACTTAAGAAGCATTAAAACACTTTCTAAAATAATTTTTAATTTATCATTTCAGATTTTTGTTATGAGACTTAACCATAAATCATGTATCAACATCATTTCAGTAGCCCACTTTCGAGTTGAGCCGTCAGATGTTTCACAATAATTCATTCATTGAATGGCTTTCTCTTTTACCAGACTAGGGAGAAATAAACAAATATAACAAAGGGTTTATTTAAAGTTATTTATGCTGGCGAACTCGTCCATCAACATAAAATAAATGTCTGAGAGGAAATAAATATGTCGATAATATAGCAGTTTAAATAAGCATCCATGGATTATCAGTCAGTTTCTCTATCGGGGAAATTAAGAAGTCTGGTTGTTTGCTAGGTTTTCATTTTAGTTGTTTGATGTTTTTCATGACTACCATAACTTATGACTAGGAACTAAACTTTTCTGCGAATTTAAATATGTGTCATTTTTCGAATAATGGGAATCAGAACAATAGAAATGAAAATAAAGTTGAGTGTTTCTAAGCAAAAATGGGTAAATATGCTAGGTCGAAAAACCATGTCATAAATTCACTGAGTTAGTCAATGGAATTATATATGTGGCTGTCAGTTGATTTTGTTTTTATGGTAAATTTTTATAGTGTAAGTGGACTGAGAGACAAAAAGATGTGGTCCTGTAACTGTCTTAAGCTCGTCCTATGATATTCACAAGTGTAGCTGTGGCAGAAGGTCTTGTGATAGTACGTGATATGATATGATTCATGTAGTTCTTACCAAAGCATTAATTTTCTAAAGCTCTGTGGAGATATTATAATCTGATGTCTAGTTTACTTAATGTACTCACAACTAACACCTGATCAACTCAGCTGGACAAATAATTAAACAAAAATTTAATGGAAATCTGTGTTGTTTCTTAACTCATGTGCAGTTATCGCAACACATGAATAGTAATTTTAGTTGTGTGAATAATCTTCTTACTCGCTATAGTTTACCGTTACTTCCATACGACTTACGATTTTGCTCTAGAACGTCATGTGATCTGTTTGATTATTATCAAGATCATGATACACACAGAAAGCAATGATTAAATCTACATACTGTTTCTTTTTTATTTTGTTATTTTTTTATTGTCTGATCACCTCAATCATAAATGATAACCATTCGCACTCACTAGAACTTTATTTTCTATAATAGTACTGTAGTGAACAGACCACGGATGGGGACAGTCGAATGTATTTAACACAAAATTACAGGACTTGTTAATAAAATCTAACAATCATAAAGTAAATGCTCTATCCTCTTGTCCCTGTTCTGCCAGACCTTCCATTCATGACTAACATCATATACTACTTATGCCAATATAAGTAGCACACACCACAGTACTAATCAAAGAAAAGCGCAGATAACTAAGGTATTATTTTCCCTGAATTTAAGAGATGTTTATAACCACATGGATTTTTTTTACACAGACATCAGTCTTAATATTTTTGTTCTGTATATATGAAAATGTGATTCTCGTATTTTAGGCGCTTTCTTGATTTACTGTTTTACCTAATCTACAGTGATTCAAAATAAAATAATTTAAAAGATCACCATTCCGATAGTATTAAAATACTCTAATTTTAATATAGTATGCATTTATTTGGTTCTTCTATAAGAAACAAACAGTGATACCGAATAGTTTATCATATAAGATATTAATTACATTTTATTAATCATAATCACAAATTGGCAATTAAAAACCTTGGAAGCTTCAGTTTTATGGCATCAGTGCTCCCCCTCCCCAGTCTTTAGTTTTTATTACTAATCTCTTTCTTCATAAATTGAAATATATGAATCTTGCCTATAAATTTTATCGCATACATATTTCAGTCTGCCAATACATTCTTTAACATTATTCGTTACTAGTGACAATATATTGTCTTAAAACTTCAAAAGAAACTTGGAAAACTCGTAGTGTCTTTTATGAACAAATATTCCTTACTTTTATAATGAAGTGTTTTATATAAACACTTAGTTATAGATATTAGGAACACTGACAACAAACGAATAATAATTTGTTTGCAATAAATAACTTCTGTAAATATTCTAATTAACGTATTATTTATATTCCATAAATATAAAACTATGAGTGTTTATTTATTGACATAATTATTTTTGGTGTCAAAATAACTGTGTGAATATTGTCTGAAATTATCACTTATTACAGATAAAAATATCATATGGTATTATTTGAATTTTTTGTTTGAAACTTAGAAAATTATTCCGGAGCTTTAACCCGTTTTTAGGGCCAGTGAAATCTTACTAGACCCTAATCAAATCATTGGATATAGATTAGTTTACCAATCCTCGTCAAGGGCTAGGACAACCAATGCGCGTCGCTCAGTTGTACTCCATGGACTGGCTCACGAGGTAATGGTCCTACTCGATCTTGTACCTAATCGTACTAATATTGGAAGTAATAACGTTGTTTGTGTTGTACGGTCATCGAAGTAGTCATAGTACCTGTATACGATAAAAGGGTAATCAATAACCGTGAGATGTGACTTCGACGTAAGTTGTTTGGTCGACCCATTTCTGCTAAACTCGAGTAGGCCCTCAATGTAGCTGCTAATAAATGATAACAGGAGAATTAATACAGTTTGATTACAGAAATGAACAAGGACACAGATATGATGATACACGAAATAACTAAAAATCTTTTAATGACTCTCCAACCACATTATTTGTCTGGTTTGATGCTGTTGTAATAGATGGCTAAATAATTTGAGTCACAACACTATGGTAAGTTGTGCGTAAATTATCTTGCTGTTAAGATTTATTTGCGAGGAATATCTTCCCAACACTTAAAAACCACTTAACTTCTAACCTACTGTCCGTCAGGCAATAATAAGCAGGAAGATAAAGTCGAAGATCATAAAAATTATACAAATAAATTCAAAGACAGAAACTAAGCATGCACATTTCCAAGTATGAAGATAAGGATATTGTTTACAAGGTCGTTCAGATAAAATCTTATAGCGGTATATAAATCCCCAAAATCAATAGCTCTGTAAGTCTTCGTTATTGGATCCTAACCACATTACTTTTAATTGACTCACCTAGCTGAAGGCGCTCGGTCAAGCATCCACACCAGATCACGAGTGGGAACGCCGTGCTCGACATCCCCTGCAATCGCTAGCCATTCAAGATCAGTCGAACCTCGATAATATTGATAGCCTATCAAATATATCTTCGAACCTCCTCGCTTTTATCTTTTGATTTCACTTGGTGGGTACGATTCATACCAGGTGTTACTTGTTAAAACGTCGTCAAGCTCCAAATACCTGTGGTATCTTCAATCTTAACTGTATGTGACGTCGAATATACACCTCATATTAGTAAAAGCATACTTGCTTGCTTTTGGCGCAATTGGGTAAACACGAATCTCTTTCTAAGTTTGTTCCACATTGAATATCTAATACTTCAGAATTCATTTTACATGTTACCGCGTGGATATGTGAGAAAATCCCTCCATGTATGTTTCTCCCTAAGACATTTCCAAAGTTTTCCTCTTTATGTATAATTTCTTCGATTATTGTTGCTATGTTTCTGTTTGTTTACAAATACCACTATTATAGTAATTACGATCTCTTAGTTTCTATCAACTCTTTGATGTCTCTGGGGTTATCGATCACTACTTCATTGTTTTACTTAGTCTTTTAATATAAGTGGCTGCTATACCGGGTGACTGTATTCTTGAGTGTTGCTGCTTGTTACACTGAAATGACTATCCGTGTGGGATACAAGTCACGTCTCCTATTTCTTAGAAAAGCATATTTCTGTTAAGAACTTTGATCACATAATTTACGGATAAACCAACTATCTACTTTTTGTGCGATCCTTGAAGTTTAATAAAACTTGTTATCTTGTATCTAACTGCTCACCAGTGGAGTAAAATGGACTGATCTATCGTCATTTTCGGATATCTTAATTGACCGTATAGATTTGGCCAAAAACTATTCAGGCATTGTTCATTCATACCATTCATATGGATTTCTATTTTCTTCAGTACGACTTGGTTACTGAAATTTTATTTTTTCATTATTTGGCTCAGTAGGTGTGGATCTACCAAATCTATTTCTATAAAAAAAGATCAATACGGAGTTCTGGTAGTTATGGAGGTCACAAATCATCAAAGCTTTCGAGCCGCATTCGTTTTAGTTTATAATTATTGAAGTACTTAGAATATATGATTTCGAAATTTTTCTTTACGTTTCTTGAATTAAGATTATTGGTAGCCTTACTTACTGTCATAAAGTCACTGTGTGGTGATAGAAGAAACCTTGTGGTTTT